AAACAGTAACCACTGTTTCCTCTGCACAGAGCAAGGATTTCTGAAGGCAGCAGAGGAGAGAAGGAGATGAAGCTCACCAGAGGGCTAAAACCAAAACTCAACTCTGAGGTTAATAAACATTTTATCAAGGGGAGTAGGATAGTAATCATGTCTCCCAGTTTCACATCTACTTCAGATCAAATACTTCTTGGGCACCTATTATGTACCAGAAATCATGAATATTGCTCCCAAATATCAAGATGCCACCAGGACTCTTTTTTAATAAAACAATGATTCTAATTTTGTGTGCAACTCTAAAGTATCTATTTATCTTTAGGTTAGAGGCTTCTCTCCTCCCCATCTCTGATCCTTTCACAGCCTTTTCAATTAAATGTAAGATTGTAAGGACTAGAATTTCTCAAATTTTCTTGCCATTTCCCTAAATGCAATGATTGTGACTACTTCTACTTGTCCAAGGAAACTTATGTTAAAAAGGGGGGAGAGAATGAAGGGTACCAGTTCAAACTTCCCTAGGTAGTCATTTTAAAACACTGAGAGCCATCAAATCATCCCCTAACTGCTCTAAATTTAGGCAGGATACAACATGAAATGTTCAATTCTTTTTATTTATAACTCGGATAGTGGTTCAAATTTACCATATGGCTGAGTTTTTTCTTGCGATGCCTACAATGCACACTTCATAATTTATGGGGATGCCCTTGTATGTTCAGGAAGTAGGATATACTTATACCTGTTCTACAGCAGTTGAACATAATTCTACTATTTCTAATGCTTCTAGAATTTGAGTTCTTTTATCTTGCCTTCTGAGCTACACTATTAACCAATTTTATAATTTACTCAAGTCCTTAATAAAAAATTATAAAATTGTTTCAATGAGAAATTGCAGTTAACGTCACCATTAGTCTGCTTTGTCACATTATTTCTAAGAACACTGTGGAAGGAAGCCCTGGCTAAAGCTCCGAAGTTCAAGTCATTTAGACAAACAGTACAACAGAAAAGACAACGAGGGATAGAAAGGCCTACTGCAACACAGTGACCAATGAGGCCAAGTTAGTGAGTCACTTGAGTATTCTTTGTTGTTCTTCCTCCGTTTTCTAATTCTTCCTGTCCTTCTCTGTGACCCAATTTCTTTCTTGTTCTCCCTTATATCCAGGGAATGTCATATTTACAAGTGCACTTAGATAATGTGTACCACAACACCCTCAATTTATAAATGAAGAAAACTAATGCTCAGAAAAGACAAAGAATTTTCCCAAGATCACAAGCCTGATTTCAAAGGCAGTCTGTCCAACTCTCAAAATCCATTTTTTACTATACCTCCCACTCTCTAGAAAATCCCTTGCAAAAATATTCTAGCACAATGCTCTTATATTGTATTCTGTTATATAGTGAGAAAACACCACACAACACAACATGACGCCAGCAATAATTTAAGACAATATCCACAAAACCACATATTTTTTCCTACTGGACTCTTTAATTATAATACTCATCTTTTTAAAAATTACCTTCTAATAATCTGATTAATTACTAAATTAGGGGAAATTAAAAGACCAATACCTGATCATTTGAAATTATAAGTCCCATTAACAGTAGCTAATTATTTATTTACTGCTTATATATACCAAGTACAACTTTTTATCTATCTATCTATCTATCTATCTATCTATTTATCTTTAGGTTAGAGGCTTCTCTCCTCCCCATCTCTGATCCTTTCACAGCCTTTTCATTTCAATTAAATGTAAGATTGTAAGGACTAGAATTTCTCAAATTTTCTTGCCATTTCCCTAAAGTTCTTGGGGTAGTCAAGTGCCTGTGAAAGTAGATGGTCCTATTGACATCTGGTATGTGACTTACATTTTCACTTCTCTCCTGAAAGTCTCAGGATACAACTTAATTTCTGGACTATACTTACCTGTGAAAAAATATGGACATTTTCTGCTGTATATAAATTGATCCTTTCCTTAGTTTCATATATAAAGTAAATTTAAAAGCCTTATACCATTCTAACAAAAGTCTGTTATATGACTTAATTACAAGCATGGATTTAAAGTAAGATGAACTAGACTAGAGTTTAAACCCCAGCTCTGCCACATACCAGCTGAGACCTATTGAGCCAATGATACTCAGATCATAGGGCTGGTGTAAGGATTGGAGGAAAGGGTGTTGTTTTCTCTTCCACACCTTCTCATGCCCTCATTCTGCCTGTAGAACTCTTTTACTTTTTCTTTAAGCTTCTTTTCAGATGTCACTTTTGCTATATAACCAGAGCATTTCCTTTCCCCAAAGGGAAGTCACTACATTTTCCATAGTTTTTTGAGTATGTACCTCACTGTGTGTTTACAAATCTCTTCCTTCCATCAGACTGTTTATGTACCCAGAGCTGCCTAGAGTGTGTACATAAGAAAGTCAGAAACTACTTGATAAAGGATGTTGAAGAATGACTCCTTGCCTAGATGGGCAAGTCCAAAGCAAAGCCTATGTAAATACTACAGGTTCAGTTCCAGACCACCCCACTAAAGCCAGTATCTCAATAAAGCGAGTGGCAATCCTTTTGCTGAAGGAGCTTGCCTTCAATTTGTAAAAAACACATCTGTGAAGTGCGAAAAAGCAAAGCACAACAAAATGAGATACGCCTGTAACCCAGACACTTCATTATCACCTAATGGAATAAAGGAAACAAAGTTATCCACTGATACATCTCCTTCTTGGTCACTAGATAATTCAGTTCCACGGACAAAACCACCATCTATATATAAAAGCCTAAGCGACCATCGCAACCAAATGGATGACCGAACAGGCTGCGTGGGGTGACTAAGCCAACAGGGGATTAGTGAGGGGCGACCAAACGACCGAACAGCAGGCTGTGTGGGGCGACCAGGCCCACAGGGGGGACAGTTGGGGGTGACCAGGCCGGCAGGTGAGGCAGTTGGGGGTGGCCAGGTTGGCATGGTGGGGGGGGGGGGGGGGGGGGGACAGTTAGGGGCGATCAGGCAGGCAGGCAGGTGAGCAGTTAGGAGCCAGTGGTACCAGATTGTGAGAGGGATGTCCAACTGCTGGGCCAGGATTGGGCCTAAACCAGCAGTTGGACATCCCCCAAGGGGTCCCGGAATGGAGAGGGTGCAGGCTGGGTTGAGTGGACCCTTCGTCCCCCGTGCACGAATTTTGTACACTGGGCCTCTAAAACTAGACAAAAAAGGCTTTGTCCTAAACCAATATGTACCAGAAGAATATTTATATTTGCCTTGTGTCTACATAACCTGTAGTCTCCCCCTATTGTGAGTCCTTTTCATGGAAATCATAATGATCAAATAGAATAAAATAAAACTGACTTTCTTCACCAAACGTAAGATATTGAAAAACTCCTAAGTATATCTTCCAAGTTTTCCTTTCCCACTCATTTTTCTTTCTCCAAGCTCTTTTCATACATGCAATATGGCCAGATCAGAAGGACCAATGCACTAATGGAAGGGTATTCAAAGCCAACTAAGTTAGATTAGCTATGAATCAATGACTTAGAGGTAAAAGTAACCATATTTCTGTACTAAAGTTCTAAAATAATTAAAATTCCAACTCAAAAATTCAATTTTTTCCATTACCTCAAGGGTTAAACTTTTTATAATTATTATTATTATTATTTTAATCCTCACCAAGGATATATTTCTCAACTGATTTTAGAGAGAGATGAAGGGAGAGAGAAGCATCAATCGATTGCTTCCTGAATGTGGCTTGAACTGGCAACCTAGATATGTGCCCAGACTGGGGATTGAATCCGCAATGTTTTGGTGTATGGGATAACGCTTCAGCCAACTGAGCCACCCAGTGAGGGCAAGAGTTAAACTTTTTTAAAAATATTGGATAGGTCACAAACTACAAGAAGAGAATCGACAACTGAAAAAAATTCCTCCAAAATATGAAAGGACTTAGAAACAAATGCCCATATCAGAAAAAGAAATAAATGTAAGAATATAAGATTACTGGCAAACCAGAGATGTTTTGAGATATGTGCCCAGCCTTTAGAGATTATCAAAAACTAAATACATGCTTTCAGGAAGAAAAAAAAAGGCCAGCAGATATTTTTCAATAAATTCTTACTTGCCAGTAAGCTTATAAATATTTCAATAGCTTATAAAAATTGGCCAAATTGGAATACCTTTTATTGGTTGAAATTACTCTGAAAAATTGCCCAAATATGAAAACGTATTAAGGGTTTCCCAAAGTAACTACAGTTATGCCATGGTGAAGTTCTTAAAGTCAAAGATCCAACTGAATAATAAAGCCCTTAAGTTTTCAGACTTAAATATCACTTTAAATATCACTACCACATACTCTGAGGCATAGAATTCTCTGGTTTCACTAAGTACTTTTATAGCAGTTCAACAAATACAAAGCTGATTCTTAAGAAAAATTTTGATTTTTGCAGGTTCCCTAATTTCCATAGCATAATGTTAATAAATGCTGTCGTCATTAACACTGCCATTAATGAATCCGGTTACACATTCGTGTGTGTGTGTGTGTGTGTGTGTGTGTGTGTAAATTTAAGAAAAGTCTGAAAGCATATCTCTATATATAATAGAGAAATATGCAAATTAACCAGGACACCGTAACAGGTCAACCGGACAGGAGGAGGTTGAGGGGCCTCTGCACGCCTGCCCTGGGGGAGGTCCTGATCAGCAGCAGCCACAGCTGCTTCAAGGGCCGGAGAGGGAGGCAGGGCCAGACTGGCGACTCCAGGTTGGGCAGCGCCGTTCAATTTAGAATCACGCACAGGGCTCCTAGTATACTATAATAGTGGTTATCTTTAGGAGGTACAGTTAAGGGTGATTTTTCTTTATTTTTTATAGTTTCCTGAATTATCTAGACATTTTTCAATAAATATATACTTTATGATTAGGAAATAAACCTATTTTCATTAAGAAATGAGATATAAATGATCAGTATGCAAATAAACCAGAGTTAAGTCCAACAACACATATAACTATATAGCAAATCAATCTCACCTGATTCATTACACAAGGCTTTCAAGTCTGCTCCAACATATCCATGTGCATTGTTTGCTAACTGTAGCAGCTCGGCTTCAGTGAGTACATGCGGTACCTTTCGAAGCAGTTTCTGAAGTATATCTAGCCGGTCCTGAGCATTAGGAACTCCAATCTCAATCTCTTTATCAAATCGTCCAGCATCCAAAGCATGAGGACGATTTGTGGCCCCAATAACTAATACCTGTCCTTCACTTCCTTCCTAACAAAATAAAATAAAAACTAACTAATTATTCTTCTACAAGTAAAACACACACATACACACACACACACACACACACACACTATATAGGCAAGGATGGATGGATCCAACTGTCCAGGCTGCTAAGTCCTATCCCTTACACTTTTATTATTCACCCTACATTTTCCAAAGCTTAGCCTAAATGATCCCTTACCTAGTTTTCCAATACTTACCTTTCATATATCACAAGTATGTCTCTCCCACATATAGCATCTTACCGACACTGTTCCTATGAATAATAACATATATAACACCCTATCATATAGTTATTTTAATTTAAATATTTTAAATGCCCTTTTCCCCTACTTGAAAACAGAGATTATGGCCTACAGATTATTCAAATAGAAGAGATCTTTTATAGTTTTCAAAAAGATCTTCTTCACAAATGGACTCTATTTTAAATTTGATAATTTTTTAAATTTCTAAAAACATAGACAGCAATATAACCAACATCAGAGTACCAGCCACCTTGAATATGTATGGACTTTAACTCTCTGAGAATGAAATTATAAAGAACTATGATCATGGCCTTATGGGTGGCTAAGTTGGTTGGAACGCTGTCCCATTCGCCAAAAGGTTGTGGGTTCTATTCCCAGTCAGGGCACATACCTAGGTTGCAGGTTCGATCCCCAGTCAGGTGGTATACAGGAGGCAACCCATAGATGATTCTCTCACATTAATGTTTCTCTCTCTCTTTCTCTCTCCCTTTCTCTCTCTCTAAAATCAATAAAAGCATATCCTCGAGTGAGAATTTAAAAAAAAAAGATCTATGATCATGATCAGCCACCTATAGAAATTATCCAACATTCTATTCAGAAGAACCAAGTGTAACCTCACAGAGACAAATTTAACTGAAATGTGATTCAAAGAAAACTCAAACCTAACCAATTACACTGGATGTGCCAACAAAAAATGCATGGATTATAATGAATCCACAAATTGTGAATTTAGAAGACAAAAATACAGGCCCTTAAACATCTTCAGGCTAAAACATCAATGTCACATGCTTCCATTCCTACCCAAAGGCAAGAACACCAATCCACAGCAGGCCTTTCCCACAGGCAGAAGAAAAGGCAGCTGTGTCTCAGTAATTAAGACACTCCAACACAGTCTTACATCTGACTTCCTACTCACCAAGAATTCTAATTATAATACAGCTCTCCATATATATATATGCCTTTTGGGTGAAAATAGAGTCATCCGTAAAGCTGATACTTAGTCAGCTTAATAATTATATTTCTTATTATAAACAAACAAACTGGTACCCCGGTTTATATATCAGTCTTATGAGTGTTGTTATTGTGGGCTGTCAGTCCTCACAACCCATCTCCAAAATACTAACATTGTATTCTCCAGCTTTATAAACTGAGAACCAAACCTGAGTGAGACAAGATGATCACATTTAGGTGCTGTCCCAAGACTGAGACCAGGTGGTCATCTAGCCTCCCCCAGATAGCAACCCTTGTCTTGTGTCACTCTTAAAATTATAACACATTGTTAGCAAATAATAGAGACTTAATACTAAACCTTCACATTATTTTTGCATGTTCAATTTCTACCAATAGGAAGTAAAAACCAAAAAGTTCTAATAGTCCAGTTTTTAATATGCAAAAAGAGAACCTGGCATTACATACTTTTAAAATTTTCTTTAGGTTCTAAAAAACAAGTTCATAAGTGTATTCTTCTGGTAAATGACTGTCAAGATTATGTATATGCCATCAGAGTGATAACAAGGTAAATTCCTTTTAAAGGTTGCACAATACATTATTCTCACTTTCTTTATTTTCACTTGCCCCCAAAGAATCAATTTATACATGTGTATATAAGACTTACTCAAGAAATTTCTTTATAAATTCTCCTAAAATTTAATCACTAAATCTTTCTTATGATTTTTGTTTCAGGTTTTTAAGTTAGTAACATTTATTACAGAAGAAATCCATTGTTGTATATTATTTTACATGCTAGAAAAAATGTCAGATTATACTATCCTAGCAGTTACTAAGAAATCTGCCAAAGAAAATTACATTGTGGCCCTTTCCTCTAGTGTTTATAGCTAATATTTTTTCCTTACCCTAGATACTCCACAATTCAAGAATTTGATAGTTTTTGCTACTATATATACACAAATGATTAAGAATCGACCCCTTCCTACACAGAATCAATACTGGTGCTATACTTACTGAACCAATACCATCCATCAGTGTTAGCAGTGAAGCTACAACTCTTTTTTCCACTTCATTCTGAGCCCCTTCTCTTTTTGGGCAAAGTGCATCCAGCTCATCAATAAAAATAACTGATGGATGCCTAAAAACAAATAAGTAAAAATGAATTCGCTAATATACATTTAATTTTTAAATTTGACATGTGACATGTTACATTTAGGATTTAGTTAATAATATTAAAGACAAAGGCAACAGGATGTTAAACTGAAAAACCTTAGATGAATTCTTGCCCAAATTATTAACTCACCAAAAGTACATTCTAGTGGATCTGCCCTCAATTAAAAGAAGAGCACTGAGAACAGTCCACTGCTCATGAGATGAGAGTCTACGCCTAGGCAGAACTTACCCACTAATGCCTACTGCATTGTTATGCCTCAATTCAGAAGCAGAGGCTAGAGATGTTGTCCCTGGGAACGGTTTTAAAGTCCAAGGGAGCAAAATTAGAAATGCTCTCTGTTACTTTACCTATTAAAAAAAATTACTTTCGCCCTGGCTAGTTTGGCTTAGTGGATAGTGTCGGCCTGCAGACTGAAGGCTCTGGGTTTGATTCTGGTCAAGGGCATGTACCTGGGTTGCAGGCTCAATCCCTGTTCCTGGTCAGGGACCTTGCGGGAGGCAATCAATCGATATGTCTCTCACATGATATCAAATAACACTGTCTTGTTTCTCTCTCTGTCTCTCCCCCTCCCTTCCACTCTCTCTCTAAAAAAATCAATGGAAAAATATCCTCAGGTGAAGATTAACAAAAATAATAAATAAATAAGTAAGTAAGTAAGTAAATAACTTTCATGATAGTCAATGTTCCTATAAAAAGATGTGAATTTGCCCTGACTGGTTTGGCTCAGTGGATGGAGCGTTGGCCTGTGGACTGAAGGGTTCCGGGTTCGATCCCAGTCAAGGGCATGTACCTTGGTTGCGGGCATATCTCCAGTGGGGGGTGTGCAGGAGGCAGCTGATCGATGCTTCTCTCTCATCGATGCTTCTAGCTCTCTCTCCCTCTCCCTTCCTCTCTGTGGAAACCCAATAAAATATATTTTAAAAAAAGATGTGAATTCTCTCATAAGAGGAAACCTCAACTGCCAGGAACATAACAATGACAACAAAAATATACCAAACAATAAGGTATGCCCCGGTTCTCAAACCTTCAGTATTAGCACCACAGACTACTTATTTCATCCACTATAACTAGGAAAAAAATACTTTAAAAATTGAAGTTCTTTCAATAAGAGAGCAATATTATGGTAAGTTAAATGCCAAAAAAATGATAGAGCATAGCCATATTATAAATAATATTACATTAGACCAAGTTATAGACCATGCTCTAATGCTTCTTGTAATATAACATGGTAGACTAATTTGAGGAACAGTATTCAACAAGAATTATTGTTAAAGAGCAAAATATTTGTCCCTTATAACAAAACAAAGTTTTGAGCATAAAGAGCTACTATAATACAATCCTCAAGAAGTCTCATGATATCAAATAACAGTGTCTTAATTCTTTTCCCTTATGTATTTTTTAATTGAGATATAATTAACATATAACATTTTATTAGTTCCAGGTATACAACATAATTTAATATTTGTATTTTGTGAAATGATCATAAGTCTAGTCATCGTGACATCTGTCGCCATGTATAGCTACAACACTTTTTTTTTCTTGTGATGAGATCTTTTAAGAGGTACTCACTTTACAATTTTCAAATATGAAATAGTTATATTAACTATAGTCACCATCCTATACATCACATCCCCATGACTTATTTCTTTAATAACTGGAATTTATTAGAAATAGATGAGAGAAAATGTCATTAGATTTACAACCTATTTCTAGTGCTACCATTACTAGTTTTGTACTATTCTTTCATGCTTAGTATAAAGTGTTGGTATCTCTACTTTGATTAACACAGCCTTAACTACTAATTTCAAACAAGAAAAATATAGAATACCGCAGAGTGGCTTCAGCAAATATCTGACGTAACCTTGCTTCAGTTTCCCCATAGAATCTGTAACAAATAAAATACATTTTAGGAACAACTCTCAAACTTTCCAAATATTTCCAGAATACTTAAAATTAACTTTCCAAAATTATTTTCCAAACTTAATTTGTATATAAATAAAAGAACAAATCTAAAACATTTCAACATGTGAAACATCCAGACAGAATACTAAGCAACCATTTTTTAATTTAAGCAACCATTTTTTTAAAAAAACACATTAAGCAAAGGATCTCGGGCACTGAGAGGAGGTGACCCTGCAACAGATACTTCTTAAATTCTTTTTTTTAGGGCTCAATAGTAAAGATTTAATTTAGTTGCATGGGATAAGTAGGATTTATCCCAGGGATGCAAGGATGGTACAATATCCGCAAAGCAATAAACGTGATACATCACATAAACAAATTGAAAGAAAAAAACCACATAGTCATATCAATTGATGCAGAAAAAGCATTTGACAAAATCCAACACCCATTTTTGATAAAAAACTCTCAGCAAGGTGGGAATAGAAGGATCATACCTCAACATAATAAAAGCCATATATGACAAACCCATATATGACAAACCCAACATAATAAAAGCCATATATGACAAACCCACAGCCAACATCATACTCAATGGACAAAAACTAACACCATTTCCCCTAAGAACAGGAACAAGACAGGGATGCCCACTCTCACCACTCCTGTTCAACATAGTACTGGAAGTATTAGCCATTGCAATTAGACAAGAAGAAGAAATAAAAGGCATCCAAATTGGAAAAGAAGAAGTAAAACTGTCCTTATTTGCAGATGACATGATATTATACATAAAAAACCATAAAGATTCCATCCAAAAACAATTAGACTTAATAAATGAATTTGGCAATGTAGCAGGATACAAAATTAATGCCAAGAAATCTATGGCATTTCTATACACCAATAGTGAACTTACAGAAAGAGAGACTAAAAAAACAATCCCATTTACCATCACGCCAAAAAAATTAAGATACCTAGGAATAAACTTAACTAAGAAGGTAAAAGACCTATATGCGAAAAACTACAGGACACTGAAAAAAGAGATAGAGGAAGACATAAACAGATGGAAGAACATACCATGTTCATGGATTGGTAGAATCAACGTTATCAAAATGTCCATACTACTCAAAGCAATCTATAGATTCAATGCAATCCCCATTAAAATACCAATGGCATATTTTACAGACCTAGAACGAACTTTCCAAAAATTCATCTGGAATAAAAAAGACCCTGAGTAGCTGCAACAATCCTGAGAAAGAAAAACAAAGTAGGTGGGATCTCAATACCAGATATCAAGCTGTATTACAAAGCCACTGTTCTCAGAACAGCCTGGTACTGGCACAAGAACAGACATATAGATCAATGGAATAGAATAGAGAACCCAGAAATTGACCCAAACCACTATGCCCAATTAATATTTGACAAAGGAGGCATGAACGTACAATGGAGTCCAGACAGTCTCTTCAATAAATGGTGTTGGGAAAATTGGACAGATACATGCAAAAAAATGAAACTAGACCACCAACTTACACCATGCACAAAAATAAACTCAAAATGGATAAAGGACTTAAATGTACGACGGGAAACCATAAAAATACTAGAAGAATCCAAAGGCAACAAAATCTCAGACATATGCCAAAGCAATTTCTTCACCGATACAGCTCCTAGGGCATTGGAAACTAAAGAGAAAATAAACAAATGGGACTACATCAAAATAAAAAGCTTCTGCACAGCAAAAGAAACCATCAACAAAACAACAAGAAAGCCCACTGCATGGGAGAACATATTGGCCAATGTTATCACCGATAAGGGTTTAATCTCCAACATTTATAGGGAACTCATACAACTTAACAAAAGGAAGATAAACAATCCAATCAAAAAATGGGCAAAGGACCTAAATAGACACCTTTCAAAAGAGGACATTCAGAAACCAAGAGACATATGAAAACATGCTCAAAGTCACTAATCATCAGAGAAATGCAAATCAAAACAACAATGAGGTACCATCTCACACCTGTCAGAATGGCTATCATCAACAAATCAACACACAAGTGCTGGAGAGGATGTGGAGAAAAAGTAACACTCGTGCACTGCTGGTGGGAATGCAGACTGTTGCAGCCACTATGGAAGACAGTATGGAGTTTCCTCAAAAAACTAAAAATGGAACTCCCATTTGACCCCGTGTTCCCACTTCTAGGAATATATCCCAAGAAAACAGAAACACCAATCAGAAAGGATATATGCACCCCTATGTTCATAGCAGCACAATTCACCATAGCTAAGATCTGGAAACAGCCTAAGTGCCCATCAGTAGATGAATGGATTAGAAAACTGTGGTACATCTACACAATGGAATACTATGCTGCTGTAAAAAAGAAGGAATTCTTACCATTTGCAACAGCATGGATGTAACTGGAGAGCATTATGCTAAGTGAAATAAGCCAGTCAATGAAGGAAAAATACCACATGATCTCACTCATTTATGGATCATAAAAACCATTATAAACTTATGAACAAAAATAGATAGAAGCAGAGCAGCCTCGAACAGACTGTCAAACTACAGCGGGAAGGCCGTGGAGGGTTGGGGAGCGGGAGGAGGGGGATAAGAGATCAACCAAAGGACTTGTATGCATGCATATAAGCATAACCAATGGACATAAGACACTGGGGGGTAGAGGAGGCCAGGGGATTGTCAAGGGCGGGGGAAAAAGGAGACATATGTAATACTCTTTGTAATACTTTAAGCAATAAAACAATTTAAAAAAAATAAATTATGCACCTACTTGCTTATAATTTCAGGACCATTTATTACAGAGACATAGGCTCCAACTTCATTAGCAATAGCCCTGGCAATCATTGTCTTTCCAGTACCTGGAGGGCCATACAGTAACACTCCTCTAGGGGGAGGAATTCCTAGAAGAAAAAGAAGAGAACACTGGATTCAGCATTACTAGGTTTCTTCTAAGTGTTGTCATATGACTTAAAACATGAGTTAAAAGTATAAATTTGCCTTGCATCACTAAGTAAAGTTAAGAGTCAGATCTTCCTTATTCTGCCCATGAAGACGTATACACTGACTTCCAGCAATGACTGTTTCTCTCTCTATAGATCTAACCTGTCCAGGCACTTTGGTAAAAAACTGGCTGGACACTGTTGTCATGCCCCATTCCACATTATCAAAACAAAGTCCAGACAACAAAAAGCTCATAAAGCAAGCCACCAATCCCAATTTTCAGCATACATGCATTCCTAAGAAAATGTCAATCCAAGGGTTCATTTTATATACATACTAGAGGCCCGATGCACAAAGATTCATGCAAGAAAGGGCCTTCCTTCCCCTGGCTGCTGGCACCACCTTCGCTCCGGCCCAGAGCCATCTTTCTGCCTTTGTTCCAGCCCGGAGCCACCTTTCCACCTTCCCATGCGGCCCAGAGGCCCGGAGCGGCTGGGGCGGTGCCGAACGCCTGCATCCTGCCCCACCCCTGGCCGCTTGGTGCCTGCATATGCAAATTAACCTGCCATCTTTGTTGGGTTAATTTGCATACTCACTCCTGGTGGACCTCATGAAGGTATGGTCAATTTGCATCTTTCTCTTTTATTAGTGTAGATAACAGTTCATAAAAGAGGGAAAAGCAGAGAAAGAGATGGTATGCACCAAATATATGCAGAGAATTGGGCAATAACCACACAGAGGAAACCTTGAGTTTCCTAGGAACCAAGTCAATGCAGATATCTGCACACAGCTACATTTCCTGAGAAGTTTCACCAAGCATATCTGAATGTTTGGCTTATTTCTTTACTCATTACAGCTGATCTAACCTGACAAGAAACTTATTCTAGGTACAATACAAGCAACTGTGAAAGTATGCAATTAAAAGAGACAAGGCTCCAACTAACTCATTACAACCTAAGAACATCTCACTTAATTGGCATTTCCCAAAGCAACTCACACCTCCTACCATACCTACCACTCAGGAAAGAAAAATAGGAAAAGAGGGTGAGCAATTATTAGATAAGTGGAATGAGCTGACTTTTTGAGTTTGAATACTTTTGGGTACAATGAAGAAATCATACCATAACTCTTGAATAGTTCAGGCTGCTTGAGAGGAAGTTCAATTATTTGTCTAATTGCTTTCAGCTGACCATTTAAGCCTCCTATCATGTCATAAGTTACTTTGAACTGGTTGTCTTGCTCTTTTGAATTTGTACCAATTTTTGTAAAATTGACTCTCGTTGTTGAAGAAATGAAGTAGAAAGTATCAGTGTTGCACTTTGCTCCCAGATTGGCTGGCTTTAGGAATCTCTCTTCATTGATAAGGTACTCATTTCCTCCTCTGGCAGACGCAAAGCTACATTCAAGACCTGTAACTTCCTCTGGCCCAAGCCCACTGCTGCCACCAGGACTCTGTGTGACATTTGACAAACTGTCACCAGTTTTATTTATCTTTCTGTCATCTACTGGTTTGCAGGGAGTACTGCTTGATGGTGGGACCCGAGGCTCTTCCAGATCCAACTGGCTTAACTGTAAGGACATATCGAGGGTACTGGCTTCTATGCTGGACCGTTTTGAGGCCATTCCCTGAGCATCAGTATCAGAGTCACTCTGAAGCCTTCTCAGTATCATGCCATCTTCACCTTTCACTCGCAACACTTGCAACATGCATGGTCGTCCATAGAATGTAATGTATAGAAAGTTGCCTGGTAAAACAATCTTGTCATCTAGAAAACAATTTATCGAATATATATATTAGCACAAGTTTTCACCCATTTAATGTTTAAATAGCATTTGTTTTATCTATTAACAAATCTACCTGACTGAAAAGACTAAATCAAAGAAGGCAGTATTAATAAAATAACTGCCATGAAAAATAAAGGCCCTAATATTCCCCTAATAAGGGAGCACTATCTGGAGATCAAAGAAAAACAAGATGATTCTCTGAAATGGGGAAGATTCTATCAACTACATTAACAAATAGCCAGACAATCTATCCTAATATATAAAAAGCCTGGGTCGTAACGACTGGTCACAACCGAGGCTTGACCAACTGGAAGTCAGTCCTGCAGTCAGTGCTGGGTTGCCATGGCAACCAGTGCTGGTCGAGATGCCCCAGCACTGATTGCTGAGGGGGCTGTGAATCAGGGCCAGAGAGAGGCCTGAAGAGAGAAGTAAGGACTGATCCACTGCCTCTGTGGCAGCTTTTGATCAGCACTTGCCTCTCTCTTTCACTCCCAGTCTGGCCAGCAGCCACACCTCCATTTCTCTCCAGGCTTCCACCGGGACTGCTGATCAGCCCGCCTTTCTGATCAGGCCCCCTTGATAGGCCCAGAGACACTGACTGGCATAGGAACTGGCCAATCAGAACAGAATCTGGGTGCTATGAGGAGCGAATGGCTGCCTAGGAGGCAGAGCTTTTGACGTTGATTGACATAGGAACCGACCAATCAGAACCAAATGTGGGTGCTGTGAAGAACCAATGGCTGTCTAGGAGGCAGAGCTTTTGATGCTGACATAGGAACCGACCAATCAGAACCAAATTGGCCAGCAGAGGATAGCAGTTTGGGGCGAGATCAGTCCAGCAGGGGAGGGCTGTTGGGGGCAAGATCAGGCCGGCAGGGAGGGCTGTTGAGATCAGGCCGGCATGGGAGGGCTGTTGGGGGTGAGATCAGGCCTGCAGAAGAGGGCAGTTGGGGCAACTGGGCTTGCAGAAGAGGGCAGTTGGGGGCGAGATCAGGCTGGCAGGGAGGGCCATTGGGGGCGAGATCAGGCCGGCAGGGAGGTCAGTTAGGGGTGATCAGGCAGGCAGGCAGAGGCAGTTAGGGGTGATCAGGCAGGCAGACAGAGAGGTTAGGGGGAATCAGGCAGAGGCAGTTAGGGGCAATCAGGCAGGCAGACAGGTGAGCAGTTAGGAGCCAGCGGTCCCACAGGGATTGGGCCTAAACCGGCAGTCGGACATCCCCCAAGGAGTCCCCAATTGGAGAGGTTACAGGCTGGGCTGAGGGAACCCCCTCCCCCCGTGCACAAATTTCGTGCACCCAGGCCATTAGTATTTGATAATAAACTAACCCAAAATGGCACACTTAAACCAACAAAACAACATAACATTTCTCATTGGAAAGAGCAAGAGCTCAAGGATTCAAAGTCTCGGTTCTCCCACGGACTTTGTCCACAGACACCCTGTATATTCTCTCTGTTGCTCAACTGCCAATCAATTAATTGGGGAAAAGAATCCCACATCCCTATCTTAATAGGACATTAATTCATTGAGGAGAATAGTCTCTATGCTGTTTTGAAGAAAACTATCAAGTAGACAACACTTCAAAGACACATTACCATATATGCTGCTGCCTTGCTTCTTAAAATTTAAAAGAATATTTAAAATATGTCTCACCATTGCCCTAACCGGTTTGGCTCAGTGGATAGAGCGACGGCCTGCGGACTGAAGGGTCCCAGGTTCGAATCCGGTCAAAGGCATGTACCTTGGTTGCGGGCACATCCCCAGTAGGGGGTGTGCAGGAGGCAGCTGATTGATGTTTCTCTCTCATCGATGTTTCTAACTCTCTATTCCTCTCCCTTCCTCTCTGTAAAATATCAATAAAATATATTTTTTTTAAAAAATTAGAATATGTCTCACCTAGTTTTCTCAGAAGACAATCAGCCAATTGTTCTTTATTAATATCCACATTTTTGTCACTGTAAAGGTTTGGGGTGGGGAAAATAGAAATAAACATTAAGTACACCAGAAATTTAAATGTAATATAACATATACATAGTTGTAATGCAGACCTAATGAAAAGCATAGTTTACAACCTGGAAATGGTCTACACAATTTTGGAATGACTTACAAATTTCAGCTAGTTCTTAAAGCCATAAAAATCTCATTTATAGTTTGATGTCCTAGTGGCATAAATCAATGTTCTTCAAATATAGGGTACTTCCCGCAAGTGGATCATAATCATTTGTCAATCCTACCCACCATTTTTTTAATAGAATACAAATGTCAGAATATATCAAACATAGAAAGGTTAAATATTGCTTTGTAAGACATTATTACACACAAACATCTATATACTTGTTCTATACAAGTACATGTTTGCATATGTGCACTCTATGTATATATACGATAGATGTGTATGTACAATGAACTACAATGAAAAATGTTTATTCTTCGTCAGTCAGAAACATTTGAAATGCTGACCTTAATTAACCCCTTACCAAACTTGCCTAGCTTGGCGAAGGGCTTTTATTAATAACTTAATGTATTCCCTTTGTATAATTTATAAATTATCTTCTAGGAAAAATAAACCCTATATTGTACTTTATCTGAAGAGGTAGAAATAAGTAAAAGGAGAGTGGTACAATGAAAGTTTATTCTAGAGAAAGGGCATGCCTAAGAAAAATGGGAACCCTTTTTTGACTGATAACTATGTCTGCCAGGAAGGACACTTGTTTGAGTAGAGGAAGCAGGGAACCCTAAAAATCATGGCACTTGTACAGAACCATGTCCTTGGAGATGTGCATTTTTCCTCCTTCTCCATTTGTAAGCAGCCCACGTGACCTTCGGTTGTGAACTCTGCCAGACATCAGTGGACCCTTCCACTGATCGAGCCCAGTGAAAGCTGTTTTAGCAGGCTTTTCTGGGCCAGATCTAAGCCATGTCCTCAACTTTCTCAGTAACAAAACCAATACAGTTGATCTTCATTATTTGAAGTTTCCATATGTGCAAATTCACCTACTTGCTAAAATTTATTTGTAACCCCAAAAACCAGTACTAGCAGAGCATTCCCAGTCATTCATGGATGTGCGTAAAGTAGGCAAAAAATCTGAGTCTCACAACACCTTCTTCTTTCAATTCTCATCACAGATGACCAGAGGATGGCAACTGGAGATGATGGGGAACAGTGCAATGTATAGTGAAAGTTCCAGCTCTGGGACCTCACTCTGGCAGCTGTTAGTGACATGGCCTCACTTCTGAACTACCTCTTCTCTTTTGTAAAATAAAGAAAATAGGATATACCAGAATGAGTTGTTTTAAGGATTTAATATTATAACCTATATAAAATATATATACTTGCATATTTATATCTATATATATTAAATACACACACAGATATATATACATATATATATACATACACACACACACACACACACACACACATACTCCTAGGAGCAATGGTTCAGTATTTGCTAATTCAGTTTTGGGGACAATTTTGTAGGACACAATACCACAAATAACGAGAATCGACTGTGTGTTCATGTGAGAAAGAGAAATACAAGGAGAAAATTTAATGAATCAAATGTATATATAAACTAAAGAGGAAATTATATGTATCCATAAATGCTTAAATTTACTTGTTACTAGAACTCTGAACCTAGTTATACTTAAATTGTTTCCATTTATTAAAGTCTGAATAGGAGATATTTATAATATGTAAAAGAACAGCAAAAACAACCAATTTTGCTTTTATAACTGAGTAGGTGCAAATAAAATCATTTCCACTAGAAGGAGCTCTAAACTTACTAATGAAATGTTTTAGCTACAGGACAACAGGATTTAAGCAGCAGATTAAAATTAATGATTTTTCTTACTGGAAATTTTCTTGTCTAAGCTCTTCTTGCTGCCACGTTTAAAACAAAACATTTTTTTAAATAAAAAGTTTAAAACCAAGCTTCCATGGAAAACCTATATATTCCCTCCATAACAGGAAATCATTATCACCTAAGAGTGCTGTGCCCTCAAGAGTGATCATCGAAACTCCAGTCAAATGAGTGCTGTGCCTGCAGCCCTGTTTGAAGTCAGTCTGGAGAAGAATCCTGTGCAATCCGAGCAGTAGCACTAACCAACCCACACAAGAGCGGGCAAGTTCCTGCCTTCTCACTGAGCCCATTTCCTCATCTGTGAAAAGGGGTGGGTAAGGATACCTTGCAGGATGTTTAGAGGGTTAAATGGAAAAAAAAAGGAAAGATGTGTGCATGCACATGTATGTGCTAGTACACAGCTGGTGCTCAACACGTTATATTTCTTTTCCTTCCTGCTTTTCATCATTTGTTAAATGTTTGTTAAGTGCTTTGAAAACATTTTTCTGTTTTTAAAGGAAAAAATATGCCAAAGCTCAGGCTTGGCATCTATAAAAGTAGCAAAAGAGAAGAAAATATTTTAAAATCAAGCTAGATTGGAAAATGTTCTGTGATTCTTACATTAATATAAACATCAGTCCCCAACTGTTACTAGGGTCATATTAAAATTTCAAAAGTTGCTTTTTAAAAACAAATTTCGATAAGATTTTTACATGCAAACTGAATCAAAATCCTATTAGATACAGAATACCCAAGGGGATGGGAGATATGCTTTAATTATATTGATATGCTGCTTCAAACAACTAGTCTTTGGTGAGGGGATATTTAAAAATCTGATAGAAATAACTCTCTCACTAGATTGAATAATCAACGAGTTAAAATATACAATCAGCCCAGACGGAATAGCTCAGTGGTTGAGCATCGACCTACAAACCAGGAGGTCATCGTTCGATCCCCAGTCAGGACACATGTGAGCTCGATCACCCAGTGTGGTGTGCAGAAGGCAGCTGACCAATGATTCTCTCGCATCATTGATGTTTCTATCTCTCTCTCTCCCTCTCCCTTCCTCTCTGAAATCAATAAAAATGTATTTTACATACACACACACACACAGGTACTTTGCTTGAGCAGCCTTAATTAAAATTTATTTCTTGCCTACTCACAGTAGCCTACTCCCTTCTTTATAGCTGTAAAAAAGACAAGAAGCCCTGAGTAGTATACTGCAGACCAAGATGAAAAACATAGTTAAATACCCATTAGCAATAATTCTCTCACCTAAAGTGTCAGGGCACACTCTAATCAGAGTAACGAGAGAGTCCCTAGTCCCTAAGTTACATAGCACTCGTCTAGCTGGCACTGTGTAATACAGGAGGCAACTAGCCACTCACATGTGGCCAGTCCAAACTGAGATGTGCTATAACTATAACATACTAGTACACACTGGATTTTGAAGACTTCGTTTAAAAAACAGATATGAAAAATATCTTATTAATAGTTTTTTATAGTTATAAGTCTTTACACACATTAATTAAATAAAATATATAATTATAATTAATTTCTTTACTTTTTAAATGTGATTACTAGAAAAGGCAAAATTACATATGTGGTTCACACTTATGACTTTCATTATATTTCTACTGGGCAACACTGATTCAGTCACCAAAGGAAAGAGCCAAACCTGAGCGCCACGTCCATTTCCTCAGCCTGTATCACAGCACCCAAAAGAGGCTGGACATGGATGGCATCACCAACTCTGACACCCATATTCCTCTGTGCTATGTCACTCAGGCCAACCTTGCCTCCAGGAAATCCTGATACAGGCCAGGCCACACAGACCTGCCAGGAGAGATAATAAACATTTACAGAATATCAGTAATTTATAAAGCAGAAAATTAAGCATAGCCATGTACATGGATCTGCCAACCCCCAAAGGGGTTATAATCTGACACAAGTTACAAAAAAAAAGTTTTATACATATTACATTTTTTGCAAAGATCAGGAATGACCCCACAGTGAAAATGGTGAAAGATCTGAGAGGTAGGGTTAGGAAAAGAGACCAAGGTGAGAAGAAAATGAGATAAAATCCGGAAGGCAAGCTGACTATCAGGTAACCCAGCCTAGAGCATAAACTACATCCAAGAAATAGTAAGGACTCCAGCACCAGAGTTCCTGGGAACATGGACCTCATCAGACAAATGTTAAGCTCCAGATAGAGGGCTGAGTTCATATATTTAGTGTCTTCTCGTCCACAAGACACAGTAAAATTTTTAAAAATATAAGCCCAGAACTATGAAAAGAATAGGAGGCGTGACACCAGCAGATAAGAGATTTCAAAACCTTTCCAGAAGGCCCTAGTGGATGAGAGAACACTGAGTAATGAAGTAGAGAACATATGGCAGAGGTAGAGGCAGGGGCCAGCAGCAGAGAAGAAAGCCAAGCTGCTGAAAACACCAACAAGGAGAAACATAGCTGAAACCAGGGAGGGTAATCAAATGTGTAAAAAAGAGATGACTTCATACCCCAAAACAGTATTTCTGTAGAGAAAAGTAACAGACTGGGAAGGCCTCCCAAGGAAAGGTCTCTCTCTCCATTATGACATTTAGGGCTATATTCCCACTGTAATCATAGACATCAAAGGAGGGGAAAGTTTACATTGGTGTGAGGGTCTTTAAAATATAGTTTTTCATTTTTCCCTGCTTGTTCTGAAAATTACAATTTAAAAATAAACAACCCTCAAATCTTTCCAAACTAAGTAAATGACAAGGATTCTTACCTCTTGTTTTCCATGTAAACTGGTAAGCAGCACTGGTCGGCCAATAATTATATTTGCAGACTTCATAGTGCCAAGTCCAAGTTGAGCAAGGGAATTCTGGAACTTTTTAGGAACTTTGTCATCTACCAAGAAGCAAAAAAAAATGATTTTGTACTATTTTGTCACTGAAGTTAAGGCATGCTTTCTTTTGAAGGAAATAAAAATCCTTTATCCACATAACCACATGAATACACTTACTGTACCCTGAAGAAACCACTGTAGCAACACTTACTTTAACAAATAAACTTAAAACCAAATCTTTTGAGGATCGAGACAGTATGAGTGCTAACTAAAAATTAAAAATTAAAAAGTTGTTTTATGGAGTAGTTATTAGTTTTCATTATTTAAAAAAAGTCTTGCGAGAGAAACCAAGATGGCGGCATAAACACCGGAAATTGCTGCCTCGCACAACCACTTCAAAAATACAACTAAAAGATAAAACAGACATCATCCAGAACCACAGGAAGGCTGGCTGAGTGGAAATTCTACAACTAGAAGGAAAGAGAAAAGCATACCGAGACTCAGAGGAGGTGCAGTGTGGAAGTAAAGTGCAGAGGTACGGAGGCACACGCGGAAAGGGCTGGCGGATGAGGACATGGTTGTCTTTTTCAATCGGGAGGGAGTCTCAAGCTCCCGACTGCTCTGAACTCCAGTTCCCGGCGAGTCTCTGGGGACCCAGACTCATACGGGGAGAAACTGGACTGTCTGGCATCGGTGGGACCTTGAGGGCGGCTTTCTCTCGGAGGTGCTTGCAGCGATTACTGGGACACTGAGACTCGGGGCCTCTTAGGGCAGGACTGAGGAGCAGCCATAGCTGCTTGCTCCGCCCTGTTGATCCCCTAGGACCCCGCCCCGGCTTTTGAATATGATAGACCTGGCCCTTTGCAATCTGAAAATTACCTAACAAACTGCAGCTGGCCCAAGGCCCCACAGCAGCTTGCATTCCTTCACAGTTGAGCTCCTGCTGGGTAGCCTCAGGCAGAGGCTAAATTAGCACCTCCTTAGCAATCCAAGAGCCAATGTACCCAGTGGTCAGAGTGGGACCATCCAGATTACAACGCCTCAGATCCATAAGGGACACACTCAGGGGGCAGACTCAGTGAGCACCAAAGCCCCACTGAAGCAAGTCTTGCCCCAGAAGGGTGTCTTCAGCACAGAAGTTCTCCCACTGCAGACACAGCTGATTCTCACAGCCAATTAGCCTGGAGGTCAATTCCTCCCAGTGATACCTACAACAATCAAGGCTTAACTACAACAAGACTGTGCACAAAGCCCACAAGGGGGTGCACCAAGAGTGTCCACCTCAGGTAATTGGGGAGGCTGAGCCACTGGGCCCTATAGGACACCTAGCACAGAAAGCCACTCTATCAACACAGAGAAGCATAAAAAATGCGGAGACCAAGAAACAGGTCACAAATGACAGAAATGGAGGAAAGCAAACTACTGGATATAGAGTTCAAAACCACACTTTTAAGGTTTTTCAAGAATTTTCTAGAAACCTCCAATAAACTTAGTGAGACACTCAAGCAATCTAGTGAGACCGCCGATAAATTTAATGAGATCCTCAATAAGTCTAGTGAGACCCTCGAGGTTGTGAAAAAGGACCAACTAGAAATTAAGCATACACTGACTGAAATAAATATTATACAGACTTCCAACAGCAGACTAGAGGATCGCAAGAATCAAGTCAAAGATCTGAAATACGAAGAAGCAAAAAACACCCAACCGGAAAAGCAAAAAGAAAAAAGAATCCAAAAATATGAAGATAGTGTAAGGAGCCTCTGGGACAACTTCAAGCATACCAACATCCGAATTATAGGGGTGCCAGAAGAAGAGAGAGAGCAAGATATTGAAAACCTATTTGAAGAAATAATGACAGAAAACTTCCCCTACCTGGTGAAAGAAATAGACTTACAAGTCCAGGAAGCGCAGAGAACCCCAAACAAAAGGAATCCAAAGAGGACCACACCAAGACACATCATAATTAAAATGCCAAGGGCAAAAGACAAAGAGAGAATCTTAAAAGCAGCAAGAGAAACACAGTCAGTTACCTACAAGGGAGTACCCATACGACTGTCAGCTGATTTCTCAACAGAAACTATGCAGGCCAGAAGGGAGTGGCAAGAAATATTCAAAGTGATGAATACCAAGAACCTACAAACAAGATTACTTTATCCAGCAAAACTATCATTCAGAATTGAAGGTCAGATAAAGAGCTTCACAGATAAGAAAAAGCTAAAGGAGTTCACCACCACCAAACCAGTATTAAATGAAATGCTGAAAGGTATCCTTTTAAGAAGAGGAAGAAGAAAAAGGTACAGATACAAATTATGAACAACAAATACACATCTATCAACAAGTGAATCTAAAAATCAAGTGAATAAATAATCTGATGAACAGAATAAACTGGTGATTATAATAGAATCAGGGGCATAGATAGGGAGTGGACTGACTATTCTGGGGGGTAGGGGGAAAGGGTGTGGGGGATGCAGGAAGAGAATGGACAAAAATCGTACACCTATGGATGAGGACAGTGGTGGGGGGGCAGTAAGGGCAGAGGGTGGGGTGGGAACCGGGTGGAGGGGAGCTATGGGGGGAAAAAAGAGGAACAACTGTAATAATCTGAACAATAAAGATATATAAATAAAATAAATAAATAAAAAGTCTTCCCCTGGCTGCTTTGGCTCAATGAATAGAGCATCGGCCTGTGGACTGGAGGGTCCTGGGTTCGATTCCAGTCAAGGGCACATACCCAGGTTGTGGGCTCGACCCCCAGTGGGGGGCGTGCAGGAGGCAGCGATCAATAATTCTCTCATCATTGATGTTTCTTATCTCTCTCTCCCTCTCCCTTCCTCTCTGAAATCAATAAAAATACATTTAAAAATATAGATAGGTAGATAGGTAGACATCCACTGTTCCCAGTAACTGACGTCATGCTTATTGAGCACTTATGTGCCAGACTGACTAATGAGACAGTAAAAGTAATTTCACAAAACCATCCAGGTTTCACTCGGTCATTCATCAAATCTTTACTATAGGACAGACACTACACTAGACACTGGGCATTCACAAGTAGACAAAGACCTTGGCTTTATCTAACTGATAATCTAATAGGATAACAGAGTTATAAACAGTCACTGAGCCCTAGCCAGGTGGCTCAGTTGGTTGGAGCATCATATAGTACACTGAAATGGTGCTGGTTTGATTCCAGTTCAGGGCACATTAACTAGGTTGCAGGTTCCATCCCTCGTTGGGGCCCATATGAGAGGCAACTAAGTGATGTTTCTCTCGCTCACATTGATGTTTCTTTCTCTCTCCTTTCCTCTCTCTCTAAAAATAAATTTTAAAAAGCATATTCTCAGGTGAGGATTTTTTTTAAAAAAACACTGAATAACTGCATAGTTATAAACAAAGATTAATGCAATAAAAAAAATGACAAAGAGTGCTAGAAAGCCTTTAATGTGGGATCTGATCTCATCTGGAAGAATAAGAGAAAGCTTCTCCAAGGAAATATTGCTTCAATTCAGATTTGAAGGAAGAGTAGGAATTAACTAAATGAAGAGGAAAAAAGATAATTCTGAGCAGAGAACAACATGTCCAGAGATGGTGGGCAGAAGGGAGTTCTGTGCATCAGAGGGAAGAGGACAGACAGAGGGAGTGGTGGGAGACAAGCCATGCAAGGAAGGTCAAGACCATTCAGGGCAGCAGGTGATATCAAGTTGCTGGTCTTTACTCTAACAGCAACAGAGGACTGAGGGGTGAAATGAGGGTTCATGACAGGATCTTCATTTCAAAGACCATTCCAGCTGCAGAGCAGGAAGTAAGTGGAAAGGCTGGTGTAATAAGCAGTCCAGGTGAGAGAGGATAAGTGTCTGGATTATGGCGGAAGCAATGGAACAGAATGAAAAACAGCAATGTGGGAAATTTTTAGGTGATAAGCAGGACTTGGAGGTGGAATGAATATTGGAGACGAGAGGTGTCATACATGACTCCTAGGCTTCTGAATGAGTTCTTGAGGTCAGTCTTGAAGTACCTTTGAAAAATCCAAGAGAAGAGATATAATACAGTGCTTTTTAAACTGTAGTTGGAAAACTATTTGCTTCTGGTTCCTGATAAGCACAGAAAATGAGAATAAATGTTTAAAAGCTTTTATTTTTATTTTTAATATATTTTTATTGATTTCACAGAGGAAGGGAGAGGGAGAGAGAGAGATAGAAACATCAATGAGAGAGAATCATTAATTGGCTGCCTCCTGCATGCCCCACACTGAAACCCAGGCATGTGCCCTGACCACAAATTGAACCCTGATCTCAACCACAGGTCGATGCTCAACTACTGAGCCGCGCCAGCCGAGCTTATTGTATTTTAAAACTGTGCTGATCTGTGGCATATCTTAAATTTTAAAACCTTTCCTGTAGAGTTGGAAAAGCATTGGTCTAGAGCAGCAACTTTCAACTAGCCTGCCCCGAGAATTTTTAAAGCATGCAATGCCTACTTAGTCAGGGGCACTGAGCTCTTTTCCCTAGATTGTCAAATTTTAAAAAAAATGACAACAGCCAACCCAACAACAGCTGTCCGGTGTGAATGAATCAAAATTATACCGATTTTTTGGTCAGACTGGCGAAAAACATATTTTCGGTATGCCGAAGAATTTCAATTAATTATGTGTGCCACGAGATGAAAAAGGTTGAAAATCACTGGTCTAGAGGACAAGTAAATCAAGACTGAGAAATAGTATAAACTAGAAATATAAATCTGAAAAGGCTGCGGGCATAGATGGGTAAACTCCGGGCAGTGAATAAACCTGCCAAAGAAAGATTTATAAAGACACAACGAGCTTTAGGACAGAGAACTGAGGAACTTCAACTTTTTTTTAATCCTCGCCGTAGGATGTATTTATTGATTAGGGAGTGACAGAGAGGGGGGGGGGGGGAGGGGAGAGGGGGAACATGGATCATTGCCGGGACCAGAAATGGAGCTCACACCTCTTGGGGTGCAAGACAAGGCGCTCCAACCAACTGCACCGCCGGGCAGGCGAGGAACTCCACCATTTAGAAGAAGATGAGCCTGGAAAGGAAACTGACCAAGCACTGACCAGAGGGAGAGGTGAAACTAGAAAAGTCTGACGAGGCGTCAAATGAAGTCCAGTGCTTCCAGGTGGAGGACATGGTGGCTTCCTGGCCGAAGCTGCGGGGAGGTCAAGCGCGGTCAGCAGCCCGGGCAGCTCCGGGGGACATGATGGAGGTCGGGGGGGGCGGGCAGAAGGGGGCAGAAGGGGGCGGGGAACGGACTGAAACGGACGGGAGGACCCGCCTGGGGACAGGAAGCGCTGTTTCCCGCCCGCCCCCGGGAGGCAAGGACTCTAGGACGGGGCGCTTCGCTCTGGGGCTGCCTTTGGGGGGGTCCCCGGGGGAAAAAAAGCCTCCGGCCCCCCCCTTCGGTCTCGCCCCCACTCTTCTAGGGGGTTTGGCCGAACAAAGGACCTTTCCAGGGAAACCCGTTCTTCCCAAGTCCCTGGCGAAGTTGAGACCTGGGCTTCCAAAGTGCAGGTTGAGGAAACCTA